TTCATATATTCAACAAAAGACTAAAATTCATGCATTTGAACACATTTTCCACTTTAGAGAGGACTTTTACAAAAATAGGGATTCCAGCTCCCCTGAAAATAAGTTTTATCATAGTTTCATATTTTCATCAAAAGACTATAATTCATGAGTTGAACACCATTTCTACATCAAAAAGAACTTTTACGAAAAAATCAAGGCCACTCCCTCCTGAAAATTAATTTTCTCATATTTTCATATTTTCATCAAAAGACCATAATTCGTGCATTTGAACATATTTTCCACTTTAGAAAGAACTTTCACAAAAATAGGATTCCAACTCCCTTAAAATAAGTTTTATCATAGTTTCATATTTTCATCAAAAGACTATAATTCATGCATTTGAACACATTTTGCATATCAAAAAGAACTTTTACAAAAATAGGGATTCCACCACTCTGAAAATGAATTTTATCCAATTTTCATATTTTCACCAAAAGACAATAATTCATGAGTTGAACACCATTTCTACATCAAAAAGAACTTTTACGAAAAAATCAAGGCCACTCCCACCTGAAAATTAATTTTCTCATATTTTCATATTTTCACCAAAAGACTATAATTCATGCATATGAACACATTTTCCACAAAAAAAGAACTTTTACAAAAAATCGAGTCCCCCAACCCCCTGAAAATGAATTTTATCATATTTTCATATTTTTACCAAAAGACTAAAATTCATGCATTTAAAGACATTTTCCTTATCAAAAAAACTTTTACAAAAGTAGGGATTGCACTCCCACTGGAAATGAATTTTATCATATTTCCATATTTTCATCAAGACTATAATTCATGCATTTGAACACATTTTCCACATCAAAAAGAACTTTTACAAAAATAGGGATTCCACACCACTGAAGATAAATTTTATCATATTTTATATTTTCACCAAAAGACTAAAGTTCATGCATTTGAACATATTTTCCACAACAAAGAGAAATTTTACAAAAAAATCGAGTCCAACCCCCCGTGAAAATGAGTTTTATCATATTTATTCATATTTTCATCAAAAGAATATAATTCTTGCATTTGAACACATAAAAAGAACTTTACCACATAAAAGAACTTTTACAAAATCGAGTCCACCCCCCCCCCCTAAAAATGAAATTTTCACATTTTCATATTTTCACCAAAAGACTAAAATGCATGCATTTAAACACATTTTCCACTTTAGAAAGAACTTTCACAAAAATAGGGATTCCAACTCCCTTGAAAATAAGTTTTATCATAGTTTCATATTTTCATCAAAAGACTATAATTTATGCATTTGAACCCATTTTGCATATCAAAAAGAACTTTTTCAAAAATAGGGATTCCACCACCCTGAAAGTGAAGTTTATCATATTTCCATATTTTCATCAAAAGACTAAAATTCATGCATTTGAACACATTTTCCACATCAAAACGAACTTTTACTAAAATAGGGATTCCACTCCCCCTGAAAATGGATTTTATTATATTTTCATATTTTTACCAAAAGAATATAATTCATGCATTTGAACACATTTTCCACATCAAAAAGAACTTTTACAAAAAAATTGAGTCTACCCCCCTGAAAATGAATTTTATCTTACTTTTATATTTTCACCAAAAATCAAAATTCATGCATTTGAACCCATTTTCCACATCAAAAAGAAATTTTACAAAAATAGGGATTCCACTCCCCCTAAAATGGATTTTATCATATTTCCATATTTTTATCAAACGACTATAATTCATGTATTTTAACACATTTTCCACATCAAAAGGAACTTTTACAAAAAAATTGAGTCCATCCCCCCTGAAAACGAGTTTTATCATATTTTTTCATATTTTCACCAAAAGACTATAATTCATGCATTTGCACACTATTTCCACGTCAAAAAGAACTTTTACAAAAAAATCGAGTCCATCCCCCCTGAAAACGAGTTTTATCATATTTTTTCATATTTTCACCAAAAGACTACAACTCATGCATTTGCACACTATTTCCACATCAAAAAGAACTTTGAAAAAAATAGGGATTCCAACTCCACTAAAAATGAGTTTTATCATAGTTTTATATTTTCATCAAAAGAATATAATTCTTGCATTTGAACACATTTTCCATATCAAAAAGAACTTTTACAAAAATAGGGATTCCACTCCCCTTGAAAATGGATTTATCATATTTCCATATTTTCATCAAAGACTGTAATTCCTGCATTTGAACACATTTTCCACAAAAAAAAACTTTTACAAAAATAGGGATTCCACCCCCCTGAAAATGAGTTTTATCATATTTTTTCATATTTTCATCAAAAGAATATAATTCATGCATTTGAACACATTTTCCATTGAAAACCATTGAACACTATTGAAGAAGAAATCAACAACAGAATGAAATACATGGCTGCGTTGCCGCCGAAGGTAGCACAAATCTGGACTTTACAGTTATTGCTTGGTTTCATTTAACCATACAATGCTTCTCTCCATTGCAGTCGGTCTCATTGTCCAAGAAATTATGTCGCTCAACTGAGCTGGAGAAACTTCACGATGTGAATAATAAAGAATGCGAACTGCTTGCTCAAAGATGGCTTACGGATGAATGCGCGCAGGCAGTGATGACTTTTTTACAACGCAAATTAAAAATATAGTTGAAACATTAAGTCGATTTCTGTTTATGAAATGTTCGATGTATTTTCTTTCTGTGTATTTTATTCAGTTTGATAAAAACCATTTACACCAAAGTGTTAAGCGTACAAAATCATCTGCGCAAACATCTACTTGATGTCACGTGACAATTTTTTTCCTCCAAAGTAAAGATTTTAAAAAATCGTGGTTAAATGAACGAATAGGTTTTGTTATTCAACTCAAGTTACGAATGATTTACACCAACAACGCTACAAATTCCGCTGCGTAACGGTTACAAACGGATCATTGGGACACAATATCCTATTTGTACAATAAATATTAGCACGCGCCATAAATCTGATCGCAAGTATACCTGGATGGTAAGTCATTCCTGTAAGCTCGTCCATCATCTTCTTACGATGCCATCCAAAATATCATCGTTGCTGATGTACTTTTGAAACAAATCGCATTCCTCGTGATTTTTATCCTCAAGTTCTTGTATATTACCGCTGACCGTCAACGTCTTTGTGTCTCGCAGGCACTACAATATTAAATATGCTGCTTTACTATTTTCTCACATAGATTTTTTAAAAGTTCGAAACTGTAAGAGTAATTGAAGTGAATGACAGAGGTGGTAAAGGGACTTTCACAACTCCATCCATGTGGGATCTACAATATGAGAAAATATGAAATAGTGATATGCAAAGTAACAATGCATCAGCAAAATTAATTTATCATGTAATCTCATGCATTTCTTTCATATTATATTACATTGAATCCCAAAGACTATAGTTCCTGCACTTAACACCATAAGATTAGAGTTGATGAACATAACTTCTGACTGTTATAGTCTATGCCCCTAAATCACAAATATTGTAATGAACCCACCTAACTCACTAACACTATACTTCCTGCACCTAACTCATAAAAACTATAATTCACACAATTAGCTTGCAAACACTATATTTCATGCACCTCACACTCAAAAACTATAGTTTATGCACATAACTCCAAAGATTACATTTCACACACCTAAGTACCAATACAATAGATTTTTATTAGATGACTTTTATCCCAATATATTTTTAGACGTATTCCTTACGTTAGCAAACGTGAAAATCAAGTTGTTGGTGACTATATCTGCTAAATATGATTGAAGAAAAACATCGAGCCAAGAATCATCTAAAGATATAGAAACATAACACAAACTTATCACATCGCTTTTAACTTCATTGAAAATGGCTTCTTCACCAAACCTCAACAAACGAATTGTGACCTTGCCGAAATATAAATAGCGTTATGTTGCAAAGGAAGCAAAACGAGAAATGTCCGACGTCAATACATCTCACATTTCAAATTTACTTTACACGATTTTCTGCCAAAGCTGCGAGTCGCTCTTTCTTTTCTTCATCTCATTAAGCAAACACTAATTATAATTTTGAAAACAGTAATTCTCAGTTTTCATGTGTGTCTTAAGGGAATAACAAACAAAGAAAGGGCATCCACCATGTCGCCTAATAGCAAAGGGAATCCAATGATATTACATCGTAAAGAGTCATCAGCATGACGCATATGAAAACCACCAATACTTTCCATAAACTAACAAATTCACAGTTTGAAAACGGATCGCTTTCTTCTATGCCAATTGCATGTTAAAAGTTCATTGCTAATGGCTGCTTCATCAAACTAAATATAAAAACTGTTATGTTCAAAGGAAGCCAAATGTGAGAAGTCATTATCTCACAGTCCAAATTTACTTTAATTTACATAGATATGATGCGAACTGTAGAGACAACGACACTTATTACTTTATTATAAAACACGTGTAATATAGACAAAAGAAACAGCCACCATGGGGTTGCTGCAAAATTGCAACGTCAATTTAAATTGATTGCAAAACCAATCAAATTCATTCATACTCATTACACTAGTATAAATTCTTCAATAAAATTTAAAATTTTTGATCCGTGCCACGCCTTAACAGCTTTCTCTAATCTTCCAAGTTGACTTTTTATAAAGCATTGATATGTGGTTAATCTCTTTTACAGCGAATTTTGTTGTAGATGGACAACTTTTCGCATTAGACAGAATATTTCACAATAAAAAAAACCGTCTGTGAAAAACTATACTTTTAAAATTGTAGTTGTTCATTCCTTTTTATGCAAGAGAAACCGCAAGTTATTAGTAGCCTTACAGATCTCCTTTCTCAATCAGTAAACCATAAATTTGCTTTTACTGCTCAACATTCTTTTAAAAAAAAAGGTGTGCGAACAGCAAGCAGTTTTAGATTATGTTCTTAAGCCATGAAAACCGCATGAAATCTTTGTGACTATCTATAAACATCTTCACACGTTTCTCAAGATCACATTCAGTTTCAGTTCCAAAATTTATATTTTTCTCGTTATTATAAAGCATCTTGTAAGTTGCGCTATTCATAACAGCTTAGCTTTCCGCTAATAAATAAGTGATAATGAGCAAAGTACATACAACATGTGACTTTCAGCTTCGTAACATTATTCTTCGTTTGTGGCGTTGACAAAACTAAAACGAGAATTTCTTCTTTTAAAGTACATATTATTACTCCATAAATCTATTTATTGAGGCTTAAATAATCGCAATGATTGTACTACCTTGAAGCAATTGAATGAAAATTGATGAGAAACGTGCGGCTTCTTTCGAGATGCGGCCCCTTGCTGCATAGTATTTGTCCTTTGTAGCATATTTCAAATGGTTTTGAATAAACGGAACTTTTAATAACTGAACCAGCAGCTGGTGGAAATGTCGAAGAAAATCTTCCACCAATAATTAAATACAATAGATTTTTGTGAGATGACTTTTATCCCAATATCTTTTTAGACGTATTCCTGACGTTAGCAAACGTGAAAATCAAGTTGTTGGTGATTATATCTGCTAAATATGATTGAAGAAAAACATCGAGCAAAGAATCATCTAAAGATATAGAAACATATTATAAACTTACCACATCAGTTTCAATTTCATTGATAATAGCTTCTTCAACAAACTTCAACGAACGAATTTTGACCTTGCCTAAATGTAAAAGGAGTAATGTTGCAAAGGAAGCAAAACGAGAAATGTCCGACGTCAATATATCTCACATTCCAAATATATTTTTCACGTTTTTCAACCAAAGCTGCGTGTCGCTCTTTTTTGTCTTCACCTCATCAGGCGAACATTAATAATAATTTTGAAACAGCAATTCTTGGTTTTCATGTGTGTCTTAAGGGAATAATCAACAAAGGAAGGGCATCCACCATGTCGCCTAATAGCAAAGGGAACCATTAATATTATTTTGTAAGGAGTCCATCAGCATGGTGCATATAAAAACCACCAATACTTTCCATAAATTAACAATTTCACAGTTTAGTTTGAAAACGGATAGCTTTCTTCTATTGCATGTTAAAAGTTCATTGCCAATGGCTGCTTCATCAAAGTAAATATAAAAAGTGTTATGTTCAAAGGAAGCAAAACGAGACATGTCGGACGTCATTCTCTTTAAGTCCAAATTACTTTACACGTTTTTCTGCAAAAGCTGCTAGTCATTCTTTCATGTTTGTTTATCTCGTCAAGCAAACATCAAAAAAACTTTTCTCCACGTTTTCCATAAAATTATAGATTCGTGGTTTTTACATTCAAATTGTAATTGTACTTCAATCTCAACCAAACATTAATGGTATCTTTTACAGTATATAGTTTTTGAATAGCATTTTTATTACGTATATGTATTTGATTATTATTTATCGTAGTTTTTATTTGAATTTTCTTGTTAACATGTTGCGAGGTTTTGTATTTTTTAGATATTACGCAGGTTACAAATAAGTTATTGTATAATTTTCTCGTCTATTTTATAGGCTTCCAAAGATCAGTTCTTACAAAACTGGAAACATTGGTCGATAAACAAGAAGAAGCGTTATCAATACGTTCAACTTTTGCGCTATGCAAAGCTCACCTTTATAGGTTCTGGTGACTTTGAAAAACAATCCATACAATGCGTAACCGTACATCCTGTGTCCCAAGTGCATGAGTCACCATTTTACTATGGTGATAGCCGGGATTGCACATTGTTATACACTTTATAAACAATATTTACCGCAATATATACATATATATATATATATAAAAGATAAAAGTTTCTCCGGATTTTAAGTGATTTTTATTGAGCTTTCGACTCGTTGCTTCGAGCCTTCATCAGAATGACGATATTTATTTACACGTGCTTTTAGCTTGGAGACGTTTAGAGTGTCTAATTGGATTAGTGGGTGGATTAATGCGATTGGATGGGGTGAAATGCGTTGCTATGGGTTTTGGTGTATTGTGAATATGATTGGTCTTAATAATACTAGAGTGTAGTGTTTTAGTTTTGGTGTTGTTTGTAGTTTTTTTGTCCTTTTTCTTTAGTTGTGAGTATATGATGGGTATGTTGATATGTCTGTTTATTGTGTCGTCGTCTTTACTGTACCAAGCTTCTTTAAATTCGCGTGCGTGTTTAGTCTGTGCGCGTCCGAGTACTTTAGTTTCTGTCCAGTCGAATGTGTGGTTGTTTCCGTGGGTATGTTTTGCCGGTAGTGAGTTCGGATCTTGTCGTTTTATGGCGTTTTTGTGTTCTGTGAGTCTTGTTTCAATTTTCTTAGATGTTTGTCCTATGTATTGCTTTGAGCAGTCTTTACATGGTATCATGTAGATCGCGTTAGTTGTATCATGAATTGTTGTTTTGTCTTTATGTTTGGTGAAGCATGATTCGAGTTTTTGTGTAGGTTTGTGGGCGACGTAATATTAAATGGTCGAAGAAGTCTGGCAGTCATTTCTGATGTTCCGTTTATGTATGGTAATGTGACGATTTTTACTGTTTCGTCCGGTTTTTTGTTGCTTTTGTCGGTTTGTGTTTTGTTTCGTATTTTGTATATAGCTTTGTTTATGACGTTTCTAGGGTAATTGTTTTTAATAAATGTGGAGTATAAGTAGTTGCGTTCTGCTTTTTTGGCTTCTTCAGTATTACAATGAGTGTTTATCCTGATGAAAAGTGTTCGAATGCAGCTTATTTTGTGTTGTGTTGGATGATTGCTGTTGAAATCGAGTATTTGGTCTGTGTGGGTGGTTTTGCGGTATACGTGTGTGTTTAGTGTGCCGTCATCTGTTCTGGTTAGTAGGATGTCGAGGAAAGTAAGTTGTTTGTCGTGCTCTTCGTCTTTAGTAAAGGTAATGTTCTTTGTGGTATTGTTTATGGTGTGTAGGATTTGTTCAGTTTTGTCTTTCTTGACTATGGCAAAGATGTCGTCGACATATCTTTTCCATAGTCTTATGTTAGTGTTGTTTGTGACTGATTGTGTTTCGAGGTGTCGCATGACAGCTTCTGCGAGGAAGGTGGATAGTGGTGATCCCATTGGTGTGCCTGAAATTTGTCTGTAGTATGTGTTTTGGAAGGTGAATTCAGTGGAGAGGCAAAGGTTGAGTAAGTCTAGGATGTCATTTTTGTCTAGTTGTGTTGTAGCTTGCCAAGTTTTGTCGTTTGTGAGTAGTTTGTTTGTAATTTGTTTGGCGATGTCTAGTGGTATGGATGTGAAGAGTAATACATAGGACAAACATCTAAGAAAATTGAAACAAGACTCACAGAACACAAAAACGCCATAAAACGACGAGATCCGAACTCACTACCGGCAGAACATACCCACGGAAACCACACATTCGACTGGACAGAAACTAAAGTACTCGGACGCGCACAGACTAAACACGCACGCGAATTTAAAGAAACTTGGTACAGTAAAGACGACGGCACAATAAACAGACATATCGACATACCCATCATATACTCACAACTAAAGAAAAAGGACAAAAAAACTACAAACAACACCAAAACTAAAACACTACACTCTAGTATTATTAAGACCAATCATATTCACAATACACCAAAACCCATAGCAACGCATTTCACCCCATCCAATCGCATTAATCCACCCACTAATCCAATTAGACGCTCTAAACGTCTCCAAGCTAAAAGCACGTGTAAATAAATATCGTCATTTTGATGAAGGCTCGAAGCAACGAGTCGAAAGCTCAATAGAAATCACTTAAAATCCGGAGAAACTTTTATCTTTTATGTATCAAATGCCTGGATTACAAATTTTCAAACTTATATATATATATATATATATAAAATGGTCAAATTTTTACTCTCGCAACTCGGAGTTTTCATTAGCGATACTAACTGTTTTTCAGTTTTTTAGATACCAAGGAATACGACACAAAATGGCGATGGTCTGTATAAAATAGAAAAGTAAAATATTTCTTCCCTTTCCCATTTTTTACTTTTTTACTACTAACTAACTTTTTTAAGTTTTTAGGAAGAAGAGGCGGACAATGATCGTGGTCAGGGGCGGATCTAGGATTTTTCAAACATCAGTCATAAAACGTCGAAGGCGCTCCGCACCTGGGGGGTCTGAGGCATTCTCCCCTGAGAAATTTTGAATTTCAGAGCCTTGAAAATGCCATTTTCAGCGTTTTAGAGCTATACAAAATGTATTTGTGGGCATCGTTTTTGCGTAAAAACAACACATTTTGCTTACGTTTTTTTCAAAAAAAAAAAAAATGAAGTGAACAATACTTGAATGTTTTGCCAAATAGTTAGGCTCATTATCATGCCAAATATATGGCTCATTAGCATGTCTAGGAACGTAAAATTTATTTTACAATAATGCTATTCAAAAACAGATATAGTCTTTAAAAATTTCTACCAAGTTGTCAGGCATAGACCCCCCTAGAGACCCCCATTCAAACCTCTATGTAACGAGTTTAGTTAAGTTAGAAATTTGGTACTACAAGTGACAGTTCATAGATATAGAAAAGCTCAGAATTCAAACCATGCAAGTTTATTGTAACCCTTTACCCATCTCCACATCAGTGCCAGCAAATTCACCTTTTGAGAAAAACTCAAAATTTTTTCTGCCAGGTTAAGCAAAATTATCAGAGTGAAAATTTGCAGTTAAGGACAGCTTAATGCCATAAATGTTTATTAGGCATTTCACTAGACTATTATCTCCTGTAAGTATATGCAAGGTGTGCTATATAGCACTAGTAGCATTGTATTTGCAAATACAAACAGAATGTAACCAACATGTCTTTAATTATATAATTACATGAATGTAAAAATTGGTTCATGTGTCATGCTTACTGGTTATGATAAATATCTTTTCATATGATCAAAGCTTGTTTAAATGTAAATCAGAAATAATTTAGTTTATAAATTATTGATCATCAGAAAAATTACCTAGTGATCATGAAAAATACTTTGCTGTTTTGCCAAATTTCAAGGTTTATCTGCATACATAGAAAGACATTTTACTTTATAGAAAATGCTTTTCATACATCAATAGCCCTTTGGAATTTATGGCAAACAATCTGGTATGAGCGATTAACACACCTTTACATCTCTACATGAGGTGTTCAGTTAGAAAAGGGACAATATGTGACATGGGACAACATTCCATGTATGTGAAATACTCAGGTTTAATACCATTCCAGTCAAATTGTCAAAATAAAAGCTTCATGGATCAGAAGACTCAAAATCACAGGTTATAGTAAACAGCTTCTCATGTAATCAATGTTAGTTTTCTCAAATCTTAAACAATATGTAGTATAACTGTCCAATGATTGAATGATCAATGATCATAAACTGAAAAACCCCAAACATTTGTTTATGATTAAGTAAATAATAGTATGGCGCCTTATGGCTACAGATTTTTTGT